CCTGTAAACAAAAATAGCTTTTTTTAAATAATGACAAATAATAAATAATAATAAGTTTTTACATTACTATAATTACCTTCGAGCAAAAGTTATGGCTCGTGGGAATCTAGGATTTAGCTCGAACCTAGATACTCCTCCCTTAGACATTAGATAGATACGACCTACAAAATAAATTTAATCATGTATGATAAGAACTTATATAATTACGATTATTAATTACTCTTAAACATTATGTTAGAATAAAAGCAAACCTTTATCATTTTTAACAGACCAGTCCGATAGAAAACATGTCAGTGGTAATTGTTCATCAGTCCAGAACTTGTCATTGAATTCGATAGCAATCTGTCCTAACGCGGTACAATCCAAGAACAAACCACTATGCAACAAAAACAAAGCATCGTTATTTTTTTCATATTTCTACATTCAGATTATAAGATAAAAAACGTACTTGTGATCTTTAATTGTAAAGGTGAGGCTTGCTGTTTTTTTTCCTGTCCGCTTGATATACTTTTTATCGTCTTTTACAGTTATCAGCTCGCCAATAGAAATGACAACTCCCAAAATGTCTATAATTTTTTTTTAAAAAAACAATGAATTAGTATACAAAAGTTAAATATATAAGACATAAATAATAAAAACGTAATGAAAGATAAAATATACCAATGGGTTGATCAGGTTCCGTTTTCTGGCCAAGTATGTCAGCAAAAGTGTATGACCCTACGGAATCATCTTCTGAAATTGGATTTGTATCGACGATAACAGTGTTCATACATATCTTGATACTAATGCAAATTAGAGTGTTTGGTTCTTCGAGAGGATCATCGAATACGATAAATTCTGAGATACTTTTATGGTCTCCTTCTTCGATTTCCTTCTCATAATGTTTACATAGATCTTCATTATATACATAGGCTTGAATTCGTTCACCCTTTGTATAGAAAATGGTTAAAGCGGTAGAAAATATTATCTATAAAACTGAACTTAATGTAAAGTATGTTATAGTTTTAAAATATGAAATACCAACCTCTTCATCCATCAACAGAAATTGCAAAGAATCTACTCCCGTTCAGACTTCTCAACCCATTTTTTTAATACCTTAACTCTAATACGCCAATTGGTTTTATCATCATGTAGATCAGTAATGAGATGGAACGAATCCATTACCTGTAATCAGACTATGAGAATTATATACTTCGAAGTAACTTATCTAAAAATCAAGATCAAGATATATAAATATACCATTGTTAGACGTTAAGACATAATACTAAATTCGCTCGATAGTCACTACGAAAACAACACCAACCTCAGAATCACGATTTAATGTTTTAAAATTCCCGTATATTTTATATCTTTACAATCGTGAGAACCGATTTCAGTATATACATTTGAATAACAAAAACAACAAAAAAACTTAAAGTAGAGATATTCTGGATATCGTAATCGGGAGGAACTCCTAAAAATATCGTCACAATCATATAAAATCTAAATTAAAATAGAAATAAAAGGTAAATTTCTACAACATAGGCAAACAAATCAACTATTTTACAATCCGAGGAGAAAAAATCGCATACCTTGAGCACAAGATGCCAGTAATTGCGAGATAGACATATCTGTTTGTTGCCTTTTTTTTCTTTTGTGAAATCGTCGTGTTTTTACAAACTTAGGAAATAACGAAAATAGCATAATAAACTAAGATATCGTAATAAATATGGAAATATTATAATCATAAAATTATATACATTGGCCCATAACTTTGGGCTTTACCCATGTGCTAAAAGGTTTAGATTAAGTTGGCTTTGGTAAAAGAATAATCAATCGTTCAAGGTGTAGGTAAGACAGAAATAGAACACTATGATATCACGTCCATAAAACATCTTTAATCGATTCCATAGAATAGATAGTTGAACTAAAGGAAGCATTACAAATTAAGAAGAAAATTTTAGAAACATACATAACTAATAAAACCATAATGCCGAGATAAAAGTTTGATGAATGATTATCCTAAAAGATAACTAAAAAATCATTATCATTATAACATATAATAGATGCTCAATAGTTGGCATATGGAAAAATCAAGTGCTTGGTGCAGTTCCAAACATGCACAGGATTCACAAAGGCCTTTTCATCGAGAAGAAACCTATACAAATCATGCAAAACATAGGAAGAGGTCCACTCACCCGCTGCATGAAACTCATCAATATAATGGTCATCATCTTCGGAAAGAATTCCTATAGCATAGCAAGCACCTTTAAATGTTGAATATCGAACATTGTTCACAGTCCTTAGATCCTCAAAACAACATGCTCCTCTCCTCACCTTCAACAAAAGTCTTAAATAGTAAAGATCACCAGATGTTAAGGGACAACTCTCCAACAGAAACACTCGGGAAATTCGAGATAAACGCCGTCTCCAACATGTTCGCTCAATATCCCAAGCCCACTCTGAAGCAAATTGTGGATACGTCAACTCCCGTGCTTCAGGATGAAGACGATTACATTCCATCCAAGCTTCCAATTTGCTCTTTTTGTCAGAGCTAGACGTTCCATCATCTTCCGATGATACACACGGCGGAGATGGAAGGTGAACAGGTAGGAATCCAACACCTATAGAGTTTAAGCATAAATATTTCAATATTTTGGATAATAATCAAAACATATAAACTTATGCTAAGTTATTGCTATGTGGTTTTGGTGATATCAAACACATCATTATAATGAATAATAATCAAAACACATTACCTCTTAGAGACATATTCCAGTAAGTGTATATAACGTAACACCGAAAAAGGGAGTCCTGAAAATATTTTTAAAACATGTATGCAAACATTATGAGAAACAAAACTACATATATCTAATACTAATATAGACAAAACTAAAGCATATAATACTAAAGTACACACTACGAAAGCACTATAAAAGAGACATCTTACAGTCAAAGAAATACGAATATAAAAAAATATTGAAACCCCAAAGCGAAAGAATTATGATACAAATTAAGATAATGATAAGATGATGATCTTCTTAACTTAACATGGATTTATTATAAACCAAACGATAGTAAATCAAACAGGGTTAATAAAAAACGTATAGAATTCGTTTAAAAATAATTACACGAAACCTAGAATCTGGATATAAGGAAGAATGCGTTTACAACTATGATATCCTCTTCAAAAGAACAGAGTCAAAAGACTACAATATAAAAACAGCAACAACATAAAAACACACAAAAATAATAGATTATGAAAACGACGCAAAGAATGAAGGAATTGCATATTCGAAAGTTTAACCTAGTTTTTTTTTCCTCAAGCAATATAAAAGAACGAATATAGGGGACGCATTATATAGTTTTTCAATAAAAGGGTTTCCACTGCTAGGGTTTCGGTTAGACTGAATAATTGTTTTCCTATTTTGGTGAAAGTTCCATTTTTTATATACGTAAATTAAACATTTTTTAAAAATTATTTCCGGATTGATCTATCTAATTACCTTAAAACAATATGAACAGTCTATTAGCATTTCAAGGATCATCTAGAATATCAATTACTTTGTATTAAAAATATCAATTACTTTGTAAGCACACAAAGCATCTTTGCAGTTCTATTGCTATGTGAATGAGACAAGTCGTTTTTATCTTTCTAAAAAATAATTGTAAACACTATTTGTATGGATAATGGTGTGAATATGTAGACCAATTCATGAATATATAGAACAAATATGATGAGCACGGGATTCACATTACATTAAAAATATTCGATAATACACAAAAACACATATATAAAAAACTCAAAATATGATAATAATCTAATTCATATTATATAGCCAAAACCGAGAAGAACATTCACAAGAAAATAATAGCGAATATAAGGTCGTGACGAATAACATGAAAGGCAAATCAAAACATATAAAAAACTAACGAATCCATAACACCAAATAAAAGGTTATGTTGAATATATTAAAAAGGTATCTAAAATATTATCAGAAACAGAACATATAATGGATATTCAAGAATCGGCAGAGGGAAAGATCAAGTGCTTGACGCAGTTCCAAACATGCGCAGGATTCGCTAATTCCTTTGCCCTGAGAAAAATCCTAAACAACACACGCAAAGCATGCGAAGAGGACCATTTACTCGCTTCATAAAATCCAGCAATAAACTCATCATCGTCTTCGGATACCAATCCTATAGCGTAGCAAGCATCTTTGAATGTTGAATATTGAACACCGTTGACGGTCCTAAGATCAGAAAAACAAAGCGCTCCTCTTCTCACCTTCAACAAAAGTCTTAAGTAATAAAGTTCACCAGATGACAATGGACAACACTGCAAGAGAAAGACTTGAGAAGTTTGAGATAAACGGCACCTCCATTTTGATTGTTTACGATCCCAAACCCATTCCAAAGGGAATTGAGGATATGTCAATTCCCTTGCTTCAGGATGAAGACGATTACATTCCATCCAAGCTTCCAGTTTACTCTTCTTGCCCAAACCAGACGTTTCCTCATCATCTGAGAACGATTGCGACGGTGGAGGGAGGTGCATAGGTAGAAATGGAACCCCTAATCAATGTTAATAATATACATATCAAATATAAACGATTAAACGTTTTAACCAATAAAAATATGAAAGCTTAAGATAGGTGCTGATAAATAACAAATACCAGCCGAAGACATATTCCAAGAAAATTATATACGATGAAACACTGGCTAAGAGTATCCTGAAAAGCACAGAGTCAAGAGATCAGCAAGTACAATATGGCAAATTAAAATAAAAAAACATACAAAAATTTTAATATAAGAATCAACCAACAAAGAAATACAAGAAACACTAAAAAAGTACATATAAAGAAAAATACATTAAATTATAGCCTAAAAGATCATAATAGAAACAATTAGGTTAAGAGATAAGTAAGTATACCTATAGGAGTTCTGAACGTGTATAAGCAGGCCGTCCTAAAATAACAAAAAACAATAGTGATCGGACAAAAAGCAACATAGTGTTAGTTTTAAGCTAGAGACTGTAAACCAATAAGGGTTATACGAAACAACATAAAAAGATCGTATAAATACACTTACACGAAACCGATACGATGAATGAAAAGGATGAATGTGTGATTGGGTACACAAATTCAATATCCTCTCAAGCGGATGAACCTACAATATGAAACCGACAAAACCAAAAGAAAAAAGAAAAGCAAACATAAAAAAATTTGAAATCAAAAACCAAAACGAAATAATATAAAACATGCGGCTAACAGAACTTACACAAGATAATCGAAGAGGAAGAATCAAATAGCACTTCAATATCCTTCTCAAAAGATCAGCGTGCACTCTTAGATCCAGTATCATCCTCAAAAGATCTGCCTACAATAGAAAGCAACAACAACATCAAAATTATTCCAAAGAAAAAAGCAAGCAATATATAAACGCAAATCAAAAAGCCGCATAATTCAAACAAATAAAATAAAATATTGCATATGAGAAAATTTGACCTAGGGTTTATCTAAAACGATTTGAAAGAATGAACATATGAGACTTATTTATATAGGTGTTTAAGATTAGGGTTTAGGTCGGTAGATTTCGTTTAGGTTACGTAAAATATGGGTTGTGAATATTTGTATGGGCTTACGATATTGTTTTCTGCGAGTTTCTTTAAAAAAATTTGGTTAATATATTCAAAATTAATTATTCTCATTAAGGGGTAAGAGGTAATTAACCAGCTGAAACTCAATGAGAGGCCTCCATTGCTTATTCTGAACCCGATTTTAATAGTATAGATATTGATAAAAAAACAAGAAACCTAGTAGAGAAAAATCGATAGAATAAAGAAATAGATAATATAAATAAACCTAAAAATTTGTGCTCATATTATCAGAAAATGGTACTTTTTTAGATATTAATCTTATTTTATTATTTGTAAGGAAAAAAAGCAACATTTATTTTCAACTAGCTTTAAGCCAACGAGCTTAAGTACGGCGATCTACCCATGGCGGACATATATTAATGCTACTAATCCAGGACGCCCTCATTTGGCTACGTTCCGAACAATAGTAAGAACAAAATATTAATGCCTTCTCCTTAACAAAAAAGAAGGGAGCTGCGCAACGACAATGACAATTGTTGCAAAGTGGTCGTGTAGATGTATTGTTAAACCTCACTTCGAGGTCTCCTTCGATCTTTCCTCCTGGTTTGGCATACCTGAGATTCCCAAGCACACAGAAAACATGCAAAGTAACCCCGCAATGTTCACAAGTGTAGAACCAAGTCTCTGGATCTGTTTCTCTTTCGCAAATATCACACCAATACTTGCCGCTTGCCTTTTCTCCGTAACAAAGAGTGAGTGGATGATCATCATACCTGTCAAGCCTTATCGATAATGGTAGAGTGGCGCAACGAAAATCCAAAAAATAATTGCATTCGATACAGCCAAGGAATTCCTCAAATAATCCCCCGAGGCAACTCTGGCATCTCTCCCTGACACTAATATTTCTATCTTGGAGGTATAGTAAAGGATGAGGATGACTTCCATGAATAAAAGGCATAGTCATCGAACTGCAGATTAAATCATACGTCCCATCTCCATCAGTATACATGAATCCTTGGCAGCACCATTGAATACAAGCATGGCAAACTATTGTTTCGGTGTTATCTCTATTGGGGTGTAGAGTGAGAGGTCTTGGGCTTAGAAAATGACGTTTCTTCTTCGGAAGATTAGCACACGTTTCATCGATGATAAAACTGCATTCCGAACATTTGTAGAATGCGTTAGAACCAACGGGACGAACACATGCTCCACACAAGATGCTTTCCTCCAAAGCAATACCGTCATTGTTGAGGCTGAGGTTATGTTCTTCATGAGCGAAATGAGTGATTGTGTTGTCATCATTCGTCTTGAATGGCTCAATATCTTCAACTTCTTCAGGTACCCCATCAAGCTCTTCCCCATCCCACACGTCCTCCCTCGTTGCACATCTTGAATGAAGAGCATAACTAGGACACGTGGAACAAGAATATGCCCCATATGACCAGTCAATCTTTATTAAACATATCCCACATTTCCATTCTCCAAGACCAAGAGGATACTTGTAAGAAACGCGGTGATCATGGCGATTCACGTGAATAACCCGTGGTAAACGAGCACACTCTTGATGGAAGAACATGAGATCACATTGAAGACAAACATAGGGAGAACGGTCGCCTTTTTTCCCACAAGCATCGCAAACGAAGGAGATCAATCTTGGGATGAGTTTGAGTGTATGCTCATGGACCTTCAGACTTGAAAGAGTCACTGGTAGGGGCCTTCGAATCGCACAAGCCATATCCATGTTGAACTTACAAATATCACAATGATAAAGAAAGTTTCCAGTTTTTTTCCCACACAGATGACATTTTAGATCAGTGTAGTCGGGAGCTCCTTCGGTGAGAAGCTTGAGAGAGTGTCTCGCATGACAAGAGTGAGTGATCTCTGGTGAGTCAAATACGGAGACGCATTTCTCATGAACCATCAACCAACAGCGAGGGCAACAGTAGCCATATCCTCCGGGCTTACCACAAACTTTGCATCGCATATCATCACCAACATCAAGCATGAGTAAAGTATGATTGTGCCACGGCATATTCAGATGGGATTGAGAACACATGGCATCAACCATGCAACCGATGTCCAAATTGAGATTACAAATGGAACAATGAAAAAGAAGGCGCTTGGTTTTTTTACCGCAGATATGGCATTTTGGATCGGTGTGATCAGGAGCCCCCGTTGTGAGAAGCTTGAGACCATGTCCAACGTGAAGAGGGTGCTCGAACAATGTCTCTTGTATGTTAAACACAAAAAGACATTTCGTGTGAACTTCAAATTCGCATTTAAGGCAATGGAAGCCCTCGCAAATCGATGGATCGCAACCATCACTATACGATCGATCACAAGCACCGCATTCCAAACCGCCACGAGGATATCCAATTCTTCCTAAATTATGCGTGTGTCCTTTTATCTCCATGGTTGTTGCGGTTATTAGAGGTGGAGAGAGTGCAAATTGATCTTTGGGTAATTGCACTTTTGTTTGGTGTAATAGTGGATCAATATATTGATATTCCTCTATATATACTGTAATCAATGCTGCTTTTTTTGTTGTTGTTGAGAAACTAGCTTCAAATAATGCTACTTGTCCTATTATATGCATTAAGTAATTATTTGTTTTTGTCACACAAATCTACAATAATACAACTGGCCGTGAATCCCGTGATCAAGTAGCTAGCGTTTATTTAACTTTTAGACACTAAACCAAAATTACATGTTATTTGGCAAGAATAAAGTATAGCAAAGAGATCAAATTCTTGTTTGTTGGTGCAATTAAGGTAAAATAAATAAATGGAAAAAATATTTAAACTTATAAATAGAAAAATGTAAAATTCTAGGAAATCTGTAAGAAATCAAGAATATATAGGATGGAGAAAGAGGATGCAGTGGATTACTGTTCTAGAACTCAAATCACAGATTTATATGACATAAAGTACTATATTTAATAACCTAAGATTTCAAATTTTTGTTTGAACTTAGAATTTTAAATACATATTAACATTCAGATTTAAAAATCAACGAGGTTCATAGAATATCTCCTAAAAATACAATTGAAATTCACTTTCACTATTTCACTTAATCCACTATCCACTTACAAATGAAAGCTAATTCAATGATATAATATTATCCAGTTTGGGAGTTATTCTATTGGTGATAACTTATTCATCGATTAGAGAACTTCTAACGTGCCAACTATCCCGAAAAACCCAAAAAACAAAATAAAATATTTGATCTGATTTTATTAACCAGATCATCGAAGATAGAGCCGAAGTCATGACAACTCCCATCGAATTGATGATGATACTTTGATACCTAATGAGATAAAACTATACAGAATTAGAAATTTAATTAGAATATGTAATTATGTAATAATATAATGCAAATCAATGTTTGGGTAGTTGGACTTTTGGTATTGTGTAATAATGGATCCACTATTGTTGTCCCTCTACTTACTTAAATCAACTTTACTTGTTATGTTTAATATTTACGTTGACAAATCCACCAATAATAGAGCTGGCTCGTATTTAGTCTTTGTTTAGTTTTATTTGTTTTTTGTATAAATAATCTTTGTTTAGTTGAAACACTAACCTCGATTATCCTCTCTGATTTTGTCTGCTATGTGAGTTTTCTTCAACTTCTTTATCTACTAATATTTGCTCTTCTAATCCTCAACAGACAAGTTTTCCCCCTTATTATTTCTTTTGATAGTCCTATGATATTTTTGATAACAGTTTTACCATAAGTCCATAGTTACTTTTATAGTTGTGCTTAATTATATCGGAAAGATAAGTCACTAACTAGTTGTGGTCTTTTAATGTAACTCCCAAGCACGATATCACAATTTATGTATATCCTTCAAGTTGACTTATGGTTAATCGACTTCTTTACTTCCTTTATGTTATGAAATTATCTTTTGCTTGTGTCTAACTCTTAAGTTTCAACACGCTAGTTTTCCCTGTTTTTTCAACTCTTTAAAATTAACCTACAGAAAATCACTACCCCGAAAAAACAAGAATTTATCAGATTTGATTAGCTAGGGCAGAAGCCAAGTCATGACAGCTCACATTGAGTCGACGATGTTACCTTTAATTATAAATAATTCAGCCTGCGCAGGACGAGGTTAGTACATGGTTTGCTTTGTATTGTTTAAAATTAGTTTGAGAAAAGGAAGACAAAAAAAGAGAGGAAAAAGTCTTCTTCACGACTTCACATCAAGGAAAAGTTTGACTTCACATTAACGAAAAGTTTTGATACCATGGCTACCTCTTTTCATTGATGAAGAGGGCTATTTCAATTTTAGCATTGATCATCTCTCTTAAATCCCCATGGCTATCTTTCCATCACAAAAATGGAGTTTACTACGAGATTTCATGACTTGTAAAAAGTCGATTGATGACCACGATGTGGTTATGGATTACGATATTTATGAACATGAACCGATCGATATAGGTTCGAAGCATGTGCAACTACTGTCATTGTCTTGCTCTTCTAGCTATAATTAATATAAATAATTACAAAGCTAGAAAAACCTAGAAATGAGTGCTTATATTATCAGAAAATCGTACTTTTTTAGATACTAGTATTATTTGAATCTGTTAAGTGAAAAAGGGCAACAATTTTTCCAACTAGCTTTAAGCCAACGAGCTTAAGCAAGGGGATCTTGCCATGGCGGACATATAACAATTATATACTAATCCATGACACCCTTATTTTGGGTACTGAAACATCCCATCCCGGACTCTAAGCCTATGGAGATTGTTTCCGGTCGGACCACTATACGGCTCCGACCCCATCAGTCCAATTTTAAGGTCAAGTTCTTTGTTTAAGTCATATTCGATATGTGTATTTTGAGATTCACTAAGTTAGAGTCAATATGTATTATTAAAAGACAGAAACAGATATTTTATTGATAACTAAAAGGATTCATTACAACTTATGAGTCTGCATATAAACTATTATAAGAGTACATGATCCTATATATCCGTTTCAATACACCACTCATCCGCTTGGCTAACTGGTCTGCGCGCATATCCTCTTTCCTTTCCGCGTTCATCGTTTCCTTAGTATTCCCGCGGTCGATTGCTCTTGCCGCGTTTCTTTTCCTTCTTCTTTCTTCCGCGACCCGCACCAGCCGCATCGGTCGGTTTTCTCACCGCTGGTCAAGTTATTTCTCACTCTCGGATTGCCTTAGTCTCACGGTTTGGTAGAAATTTGGGCAGAGTTTCTCTCCCTGTTTATGTGTGCCCGAAAATATGGCCCAATGGATCTATTTATAGACTTTCCCTTGCGGTAACCGCTTTAGACGAACAGGCGCGAGTTGTTGGCCGAACAGGTGTATTGATTGGACGCATAGGATTTGCAATCCTTCGGCCATAACCGCCCAAGTCCAGCCAGCTCACTTACCACTCAGCTGGACCAACTGTATTACACTCTTCCCAGCTGAGCTGAGCTTCCCGGCAGCTGGTCCAGCTAGCTTAGCTCACCTTTCCAACTCATCTTTAGCTCGGTCCTCCTTACTGAGTTATCTTTCTCTCCTTTTTCCTGGCTAAGTCCCACATTAACTAGACTTAACCATCATTCCGGACCATGGCTCGTATTTTCCTTAGACTCTCGGTTATTATTCCCCACTTCACGGCCATGGTCTGTCCCGGCGACCCTATTACGGATCGGGGACGTTACAAGTCTCCTCCCCCCCCCCTTGAAAGGGATTCATCCTCGAATCCGGGCTAAGGGGTAGAACCTTGTTCCATTCCTCGAACCACTCGGGATAATCAGCCATCATCCGATACTCTGTTTCCCAAGTTTTTTCTTCCACGCCGTTACTTTCCCAAACGACTTTGACCATCGGAATCACCTTTTTCCTTGTTGTTTTTTCCATTTTGTCGATGATCCGGACTGGTCTTGTTTCCACGGTCAGATTCCCTTTAAGGTCCAAAGGAATCTCAGTCAAGACTTTATCTTGATCCGTCAAGCACTTCCTTAGTTGGGATACATGGAAAACATTGTGAAATGCTTCCATCGCCGGTGGTAAACCCAACTTGTATGCGACTGCCCCAACCCTTTCCACAATTCGGAATGGTCCTATGTACCTTGGATCAAGCTTCCTCCTCTTGGAAGTCCGAGCCCTTCCTTTGAACGTGATCATTTTAAGATATACCAGATCGCCCACCGCGAACTCAAGGTCTTTCCGACGCTTGTCCGCATAGCTTTTTTGTCTGTCTTGGGCTTCCTTCATTTTTATCTTTAGGAACTTGATTCTTTCCGTGGTTTCCTCCATGATAGCCGGTCCAATTGCACTCCATTCTCCCACTTGGATCCAACAAAGTGGTGTTTGGCACGGCCGTCCATATAAGGCTTCATACGGCGACATCCCAATGCTGGCTTGGAAACTGTTGTTGTAGGCAAATTCGGTTAAGGATAAATACTTCTCCCATGACCCGCCCCAATCCAGAACGCAAGCCCGTAACATGTCTTCGAGGATTTGTATGGTCCGTTCTGACTAACCGTCTGTCTGCGGATGGAAACGATGAACGCGGAAAGGAAAGAGGATAGGCGCACAGACCAGTTAGCCAAACGGATGAGTGGTGTATTGAAACGGATATATAGGATCATGTACTCTTTAATAGCTTATATGCAGACTTATAAGTTGTAATGAATCCTTTTAGTTATCAATAAAATATCCGTTTCTGTCTTCTAATAATATATATTGACTCTAACTTAGTGAATCTCAGAATACATATATCGAATATGACTTAAATAAAGGACTTGACCTTAAAATTGGACTGATGGGGTCGGAGCCGTATAGCGGTCCGACCGGAAACAACCTCCACGGGCTTAGAGTCCGGAATGGGGTGTTTCAGGTACGTAACACACAAAAATATGAGCAAAATAATGCCTTCTCCTTAACAAGAAAGAAGGGAGCTGCGCAACGACAATGACTAGTAGTTGCAAAGTGGTCGTGTAGATGTCTTGCTAAACATCAATTCAACGTCTCCTTCGATCTTTTTCTCGTGGTTTGGTCATTGGTGTAACTGACATTCCCGAGGACACAGAAAACATGCAGAGTGACCCCACCACAATCATGACAGATTTACGTAGAACCAAGTCTTTGGATTTGTTTCTCTTTCGCAAATATCACACCAATACTTGCCGCTTGCCTTTTCACCGTAACAAAGCGTGAGTGGATATGATCAGATCAATAATACCTGTAAAGCCTTACCGTTAATGGTATAGAGTGGCGCAACGAAAATCCACAAAATAATTGCAATTTGATACAGCCAAGTACGGCGCCATTTAAACCCGTGTCGCAATTCTGGCCTCTCTCCCTGTCACCATAGTTACTTTCTTGGAGGTATAGTAAAGGATGAGGATGATTAGCTCTTGATTTGCGTGGAGAGTGAATATTTTCATCGTTCATGC